GCATCGAGGGTGTCGATGTACAAGATGTTGAGGCCGCTCCCTCCGTCCATCAGCACCTTGGTGAGGCGCTTCTTACGGACGATGGGGTCGACGACGAGCGGGTAGCGTCCTGGTCTTACGACGCAGGAGGGATGGTCCCTCTGATCAAAGGTGATCGGGGACTCTGACCTGCTGAGGAAGGAGGGGACGGCCATCTTGGCGGCGCACGCCTCCCTTTAGCGTACCTTATGCTGGCGTTTAGTCCAGATGGCGTCGGACCCTCTGAAGATCATGATGCACTCCTCAGGCTCGGGGAAACCATCTCTGTCCTTGCCTGCCATGCCTCCTCTCTTGGCTGCCGGGTCCTTGCCGTCTCCCTCCTTTGACCCGCCGGCCTGTTGGAGGAAGCGTTTGAGGAGCTCGCACTCCTTGTAGAGGTGTTTGACGGGGTAGGCGTGGTTCGGGCATGGACCATCCATGAGTTTGTTGAAGTGGTCAGGCTGTCCCTGTTGGGGCTGCCTGGGTGTGCGATCAGCCGCGGCGACCAACGTGGTGCTGTCCGACCGGCGCCGATCCTTCTTGTTCTTCTTGCCCCTCTAAGTGGAGGGGCCTTCGTTTGGGTCCGCGCGCTTGGACTTGATTTTTGTCCCGGCCTCCGCTGAAGACCGCCTCCTCGCCAAAGGCATGGTTGGTGGCAATGTCGAGCAGATTGCGGGTGGTACGGGGTTTTAGGCAGCCAAGCTTGTGGATCAGGGACTCGCAGTTTGTCCCAGAGAGGAATGCGCTGATGACGTCTGCGTCGACGACATCAGGGAGGGAGTTGCATCATTGAGAAAACCTGCGGATATAATCCCGTAGGGATTCGCTGGGCTCCTGCTGACAGCTCTTGAGGTCCCAGGAGTGTCCCGGGCGGACGTACGTCCCCTGGAAATTCCCGACGAAGACCCTCTTGAGGTCTGCCCAGTCGCGGATGCTGTCGTGTGGAAGGAATTTGAGCCATGCCCGAACATGTTCCACCACGCAAATGGGAACATATTGGATGATGAAGTAGTCGTCATCCACTCCTCCGGCTCGACAGGCGAGCCGAAAGTCTTCGAGCCAAATGCCTGGGTTCGTCTCCCCAGTGTATTTGGTGATGTTGGAGGGAGGCCGGAAACGCTGTGGGAATGGTGCTCTCCAGATGCGTCGGCTGATGGCCCATGGCCCCGGGCCCTCAGGGCTGGTGCTCCGGTCGTCCGGCCGGCGACCGCACCTAGGGCGCGTTTCGCCGCTTCCCTCGATGGTTTGGCTAGGATCTGTGTCGCCTGCCGCCATATGGCAAACATTGTTATTGTGTCGGGCCCGATGTCGGTCGCTGATGACACTACGGGCGTCCTGGTGTGCATCGGGCCACTCGCGTGCCGGCGGTCGGTGTGGAGCAGGCGTCCGGTCGGACCGTGGCGCGGCTGCCGCACCCCGAGCTGAGCCTGATGGCTGCAGCGGTGAGCGAACGGAGCGATCCGGTTGGCGCGTCCCCGTCCCCCCGGTGGGGAGAGAGGCCGCGGGTCGGAGTCACGACGCGGAGCTTTCCACCTGCTGGACGGCGGCGACCTCTACTAGAACCCGGAGGTTCTGTTAGACGGCCCATTACGGAGGGTCGACGGGCTCGGGAACACCGCGCAGAAGCATTGCAGTAGCGATGTTCTGGCCGACTCGGGCGAATTGTGGGAAGTCGTTCCCCTCATTCACAATGTCGCGCTGGACCTGACGAGCGCGACCCTGGGCGCCGCCCACCGGGCCATGCGCATGGGGCGCAACGTGCCGCACTGATCATGCCGGCGCAGGTGGCGGGTTCTGCCGTCGTTGTCGTAGTTCCTCGGCGTGTGCTTGCGCAGACGCGAGGGCCTCCGCACGCGTGTCCGGAGGGGTGTGAGTTTGCGCGGACTCGGCAACCACCGGCGGTTGTGCTAGACCATCCGCCATAGCGCATTCCCAGGACAGATGGTGGCGGGACGCCACATCACCGATGCTAGAACCGTCGCTCTCGCCCTCGTTATCCGGGAGTTCATGGGAAACAACAGGAGCGAAGCCTGCCATTCCTACGAATTCGGATGTGAGGGGGTATGGTGCCAGCGTCCTTCAGAACCCCCGAGCGTAAGCATCTACGGAGGACGCGAGGCCGTAGGGGAACCGAACATACGGTGTTCATGGTGTGGGTGGTGCAGTCCCCCCAGATGATCGGTGGGAGGTAGTAAATAAAGGGCGAATAAAAGTACGCGTATTACTTACAGTGGGGTTTGAGCAGAGAGTTTGCTCAAAATGAAGCGCAGATGCCGCGCTGTTGAGGTCGCTCATCCCGGAGTCGATGGAGAACGTCTCTCCGATGGGTGCCGGGTCGCAAGTCTCCTCGTGGATGTGGAGTACGCCGAGCCGGTCGGCGACGAAGTCCAGGCTTCTGAACAGGAAGGCCTGGGATGGCTCGAAAATGAGTGGAGCCCGCATCCCCGCAGGTGAGAGTGCAGGATACTCCAGTGAGCCGAGGCAAATCGTATCGCCCGAGCCTACCACGGTGGGGGTGGCGGAAAAATGGGCCATCCGATGACCAAAAAGTGTTGAACGTACAGTGTCTTCCCCACAGACGGCGCCAACTGTCGGTATCGAAAGTGACCAACTAGTGAATATTTGTAGTTTTGCTGTACGTTGTGATCGGAGGTGGCCTAGCACTCAATGACACAGGATTTATACTGGTTCAGGCTACGTGCCCTACGTCCAGTGTGGGTCGGTCGGTGACTTTATTCCTGAGCCCAGGTGCTCGAAGTTTGTATTGGTGTTACAAACGAGAAGGAGAAAGGAGGGGTGTACGAGAGGCCCGGTCGGGTCCGACCGGAAGGGCCGAGGGCGACTGGAACTCTGCTATGAGCAAGGTGTTCAAGCGTGTGCTTGAGGGGTTTGTGAGCTATTGATCTAGTGAGTCTGAACTTGAAGAAGTGGACCTTCTTCGTTGGAGGGAGCGCATCCCCTTTTATAGATAAAGGAGATGGCTTTACAGGTGAGAGGGAGAGAGTATGGATGTTTCTAAGCCTTGTTGCCCAAGCCGATGAGGGTAGCGATGATGGTAGGCGCCCACAATACTGTTGATGTCACTGTAGAATGTCAGGTGCACATGGGAGGTTGCGTTTGGCTTCTTCAGGAAAGGTGGATGTCGGTACCTGCAAAATACTTTTGGTATGTGAGGAGCCCTACCCTGTGTACCATGTATGGTGAACCCTGGCGCCCACTATCGATGCCCAGAGGTATGTGGGGGGCTTTTTGCCATATGGGAGCCCAATGGCGCCTACAATACTATAGACACAAATGTTGGCGCCTACAATACTGTTTGTGTCAGGGCGGTTGAGGAGCACTATTCCCGCAGGCGTATAGGGTATGGTCCCGGCATCGTGGTTTGACTTTGTGCACTACCTTCTCCGTTTGCCCCTGGTTCCTTCCGAGTGGGCGTCCCCGGTCGGATGGCCCCAGTCGGCCCTGGCCGCGCCAGTCGGAGAAGAGTGGTAAGCAGGATTCCTATGGGGTCCCTGGCGTTTTGGGCCAGGCCTTTCCGATCGGAGAGACCGCCCGGAGGCGGCTGGTGCCCAAAGCGAATGCTCCGGTCGGAGAGGTGGGTCGGAGAAGTTGATGAGCGAGCGCTTGTTTTTGGTAGACCTTCCGGTCGGCGACCGGACTGTCCCTCCGGCCCGTTGTGTTTTAGGCTCTTGTGTCGGCCCACGAACTACATGCTGTTTTCTTGGGCCGAGCCCTGACGTAGAAGCCGGTCCCCGAGGGACCCTGGGTTTATGAACCCGACAAAGGACAAGGACGAAGATAAGGATATGCGTTAAGTCATACATGAGCTATCTTTATTAATTAATTTATTCTCCACAAGACGACCATGACTAGAATATTTCTGTTCTTCTTAATGAAAAAAAAACTTAACTAGAACGTTAGAAATACACACACGCTAGCATATATTAGTTACAGTCAGTTCTCTGATTCTCTCTTAGGGCCGTTTGGATCTTTTTATTTTGTTGGAATTGGAATCTATCTAATAGACTAGGCTGAATTTTACATTCCACAACTTTCCAAAGATTACATATAAGCTATCTCAAATTCATACGGTGGGAGATGGAAATTGATTCTATAGATCACCACGCTATGTTTCTACTTTGCAACTTGTAACACGCTCTTTAATTATAGAAATGCAACATATAAGTATCTCTCTCGTATGGTCAACTATAATATACAAATATAATCGATATATAACCATATTTGCTTAATTAATATTTATCTAAATTATGATTATTAAAATGAACGGGCCTTAGCTTAATTAGCTTGTTTCTGAGATCAGTCGTCTATGTATATCTTCAAAAATGTAAATACATATGGATATAGCAGTCGGTCCTAAAAGGTGGTGAAGAGGTCCAAGTCCTAATATTATTATAACTTATATGTAGGGCAAAAGAAGTCATAGACGTAGCCTGTAAGATGTTCTTGATCGATCGGAGAAGACAGGCCGGCCGGACTACGACAAGGTACTGTATAGTATTCTCATCAAAGTTAACAATAAAGCAGGACTATTCCTTGCTTGGCAAGGTACTGTATAGTATTCTCATCGAAGTACGTACCTTAACGGACGGAGTATATAATTCATAAATAAAGCAATACAAATAAAATAATAAAAAGAAATTAAGCCGACAAAGAGCGATGTTCTATATATATTGTAATTGGGGTGCCGCTGCTAGCTGGTAATTGGGGTGAAGTAAGTGAACTACTAGTGGACACCTACCTACGTGGAGTACGTCGTGGACACGACACGGCTTGTCTCTTGCACCGCGTCATGTGCGTCATCGTCGAGTCTCGTCTCGTCTAGACAGCAGAATTAGATTCGAACAGATCCTCTCCATGACTCCATCATTCCATTTCCTTGTGTCCGGCCGGCCGGCTGGCTGGTCGATGCCACACACACACGTATATCCGATCGAGCTAGCACTACTTCTGTGAGCAGCAGAATGAAGCGTGCCAGAGATGACGACGACGATGACGCCACCAGCGGCAGCGCCATAGGAGACGACGATAGTCGTAGCTACGACCCTCATCACGGAGAAGAAGACGAAGAAGAAGAAGAAGAACAGGACCAGCGACGACGGGCAATAGCATGCGACGTCCTGCTCTCCCTCTCCCTGTCGTGCTGGCCATCATCTTCTTCCAACAGCACCAGCGGCAGTATCCAGCAGGCCGGTCATGCTGCCGGCACGGCGGCGCCACCACTTAATAAGCCCCGTCGTCGCCGGCGGCGGGGTACGGACGAGGAGTTCGAGTGCCTGACGTGCGGGCGGCGGTTCGCGACGTTCCAGGCGCTGGGAGGCCACCGGACAAGCCACCTCAGGCGGCCGGCGAGGACCAAGAAGCAGCCGCGGTCGTCAAAGGCGGTGCTGGTCCACGCGTGCGCGGCGTGTGGGCTGGGCTTCTCCACGGGCCAGGCGCTTGGTGGGCACATGAGGAGGCACCGCCAGCTGGGCCGGGCTGACAGCGTGGGTTTTCCTTCTGGTGATGTGGACCTTACGCAGATCATCGTGCATGGAAGGCCCGCTTCCGCTTCCCCCTCCCTGCAGCTTCTCAACCTGTTCGTGTAGTGTACATACAACTTACAACATGTCTAGTCTAGACGATGTGGTCAGTTCAGTTAACGGTAACTAATATGATTTGTATAGTTGGTCCTTTTTTTGTGTGAGGGAAACGATTTGTATGGTTGGTTTAAGCATTATATGAGGTACTAGTATAGACTTTGTATGCTTAATAATTATATATACCTAGAGTGGTTCAATACCTTAGGCAACTTCCTCGCTTATAGATACTCATAATTCATAACAAAAAGAGTATACTCTTAACTTGAATTGTAAAAAGTTGTATAATCATAATTTTCATTTTCTTACTTGACTACAAATTTAAGAAAGATTCAAAAATTTTAGAAAAAAAAACTAGTAAACATGCACATGCATCACACATGTCTAAAAAGAAGGTTTCCTTGGAGGGGGAAAATAATGAAGAAAATTTTAGAAGTAGATTCCTATGATATACAAGGAAATATCCATGATCCAAACGCATGGTCTATGATGGTGAGAAAATTTAATCCATATAACGATTTGCTTTCATTCATTACAAATGATAATTATTTAGGCACGATATAACTAGAGTTGAGTTCATAATTTTCCAAAGAAACATATGTCAAATTAAAAAATATGAATAGGCAGTGCTATGAAAAATCAGGGTGTACTCACATAATCTCCAGTCAACTACGAATGAGCATTTAGACGTTTTTTTTAACTCATACACAGAAGCACAGTTTTTGGTATTGAATTTGTTCTGATTTAGCCGGCAACAGCGAGGGATTTTAGTGTGGAACATCTCAAGCTGCAGTTTGCCGCTTGGCCCCCCACGGCGAGCCTCCAAACCAAAATAAGTTGCGATAGCTGATACTCCCTCAATCTCAAAATAAATAATTATCTGAGGTTGAGAATTTGTTAAAAAGAATAACATTTTACAAATGCAGTAGCTATTACAGGTGCTTGCAAATGATAACTATGAAATTTAGTTGATATCCTCCAGGAAAGGAAAGAAGATGAGGATAAATACATCTTTTGTCAGCGTTTTTAATCTATTGGAAATTTTGCACAAAATTACTTATTTTAAAACAGAGAGAGTATATTTCTATTAAATAGGCTTGAAGGACATAGATGTTGCCGTTTTACTTTGATACAAAATGAACAACTACCTTTGCTCTTTTCAAAATTTTCTCCTCTATAATATACTCCTCCAGTTCTAATTTATAAAACGTTTTGACTTTTTTACGTATCTTATTTTTACTATATATGTAGATATAAAGTATATGTAAATATATCGCAAAAGCTAGGTACAAAGAAAAACAAACGTTTTATAATTTGAAATGGTGGAAGTATATATCAGAAGGAAACAAGTTTATTTAGAGTATAATTTTAGAGGTGGTTCAATTTGATTTTGACTTTTCCTGCACAACAATTTTGTAGAGCTGTCATTTCGCATGTGTGCGTTGGATTGGAGTAGTGATCGTGGAGGCTTTTGTTGTGTCGTGGCTCGTGAATCACAAACATCCACTTCCCCAATCCCCATCCATCCAGTGTCATGGTAACCAGGAGTCACTCTTTTGAGCGTCATTTTTACAATATTTTCATCCATCCATCCCCTTCCCCCCGCTCGCCCGCCACCGGCCCGCCGTATCGCATCCCCATTGCGCCCAGATCCAACCCTCTATCCCAGCTGCCGTCGATCTCCCCTGCCGTGGAGGCGGCATGGAAGAAGCGGAGAACGGCATCAGGAAGCGCTCTGAGACGCGCGCGCCCGGCGACTGCGCGAGGAATCTATCCCCTTCTCCGACGAGGTCCCCTGGCCCAGAGCAGAGGAAGCCCTCTGCCTCGCCTCCGCCGCCGCGCGTCCCCGGGTGGCTGATCCTGGACCGCATCGTCCACCGCAGCAGCAGGAGGCGCTGCAGGGTCGTCGAAGACGACGCCACGGCGTCGGCGCTCTCCCACGACTGCGTCGGCCGTCCCGTCCGCGCCTCCCTCAGGATCGCCGACCCGCCTGCGGTCTCCCGTCTCTACATCCACTGGATGGGCCGGCCGGCGATCGAAGGCTTCTCGAAGCCGACCGCAACTCTATTCTCTTCTGGATGACCATCCCCTTCGAGGATCCTCTGATGTGGATCAGAGCTGCCTTCTTCCCCTACGACTACTTTGTCTACTCCTGCTCATCCTCGCCACCGCCGACCCTGACTCTGCTTCCCCCTTGCTTCCATGGCGGCGACACCAATCCCAAGCTTGATAATTTCTTCCAACCATACCGGAACCAGCAGCAGCGCATCATGTCGGACCAAGATGTGGGCATCCTGTGCCATGGCGAACAAGGCGAGTTCACGGTGGCACAACTCACGTTTTCTGAGAATGATGAGTTTGAGCTCTGCGTGCTGCACCATCCACCTCCTGGCTCTGGCATTTCAACGGAATGGAGTGTTAAGAAGGTGCAGAGCCCTCCTGACATGAAGATAAACATCTACTCGTGGATGACTGATGTCGTCTTGCCCATTGGCTGATGCTTGTGCTGGGTCGATTACTACCAGGGCATGCTTCTAGTTGATGTCCTCACTGACAGCAGCAGCGACCCAGATCATCAGCAATCGCTGCGTTACATCCCTCTGCCTAAAAAGGCTTTGAAGTCTCGCCGCCCGTACAGGGACGCAGGCTCACCTGACCCATTGCGGTGTGTCTGTGTCACTGACAATGGCATCATTAAGCTCGTCTGTATTCTTACCGAACGTCCTGCTTCGTCTTGTCCCTTCACCATAACAACTTGGACTTTGGATGACAAGCACGAAGGCAAATGGACAATGGATGCCGACACCGCCATGGGAGCAGAGAAATTATTCAGTCTTTTTGGCGCTGGCCACAGATGCCTTCCATGGGTGCAGCCGAGTTTTCCTTTGGTGAGCTTGGTTGATCCTGATGTCATCTGCTTCTTGCTGAAGGACAAGGAGCGTGGCCTTTTTTGGATGATTGAGGTCAACACGAGGAACAAGAAGCTGCAGTCAAGCGCCCTCTATATCAATGAAGAAGAAGAAGAAGATGGATATCCCCCTAAAAGGGGCCGCAGGAACAATTTCTTTGGTCACCAGTTCATCGCTAGCAAGTTCTCCTCTTCTTGAGTAAAGATGCCATCACAAGGTAATATTTTTATGTTCCTTTTATATGATTACCTCTGCTGTTGCATCTTAATTGTAGCACTTCTCAATCTTAAAACTGTTACTAGTTATATTGTTATTTTAGCTGTGCATGTCAAAACATGAAGAGAACTGATTATGAGTAAAGTGATTAGTCAATTATCATATCAAAATATTGCTGTGATCTTTTTTCTGAGTTAATGACTAGCTAATCTGTTAACAGTGGTTGTACGTGTTCAAACATAACCAAATTTATCTTCTAAATCATGATTGCATTGTCAAACCATAACCTTATCTGCCAAACATTCTTATTTTAAAGCAAATGCTGAACTATGCAGTAACAGAACCAACAGAAATGCTGCGGATTCTCCCATACATGTGGAGGCCCCATGTCAGTGACTCATCGGCACCTTGAACTCAAGTGACAGAATCCCAGCCACCTAATAGTATTCACCCTTTTTCATATTCTGGATGCAAACCAAATCCTGTTCAACACATAAAAAAAAGGTTAACCCTCACCCCAAGTAACATCTTCAGTAGATCAACTCAATCTACACAAACAAATTAAATGCACACATGTACAGTGTAGGCATCTTTGGGCATCTTTGGTTCCTTTGCTTGGCACTGTGCTACCTAGCCAAGCGAGGATTCCAAGCAAAATTGAGTGTTTGGTTCTTTTGCTGAATCATCTTGGAATCTGTGCAGGCAAGATTTCCCTTGCCTGTGTGATAGTGCCAAAATGGCTCAGCTGCTTGGGTAAGCTTTTCGTTTGTGGCGCAAGGCGAGGCTAGGCTAGGTGAAGTCATGGTGGGAACCAAACACACCCTTTGTTTATCTCATCAGGAAACTAACTTGATTGTCATACTTCATTAAAAAAAAGATATTTCTTTCTTCTTGTTTCTAGTTCATTTCTCATCAATTATTCAGTTTTTTATTACAATGACATAAAGAAGAAACATAGTAGGTGAATCAATTTACTACAGTAAGGACTAGGGAGGCTATGCCCATAAATGAAGTTCTACTACAGCTGCTAGTAGTCATGTATCATGTCTGGTGACAAAAGAAACTTGTCAGAAAGCTCGAGTGATCATGACTTTGAAAAACAGTTAGTTGTGCTCCTAAGGAGTTTATGATAGGCAAGGTCTTATTGGTCCAATTGGTGCATATGCATTCCTCTTTAATAGAAAAGGCAAGCATTGTTTTGTACTCCAACTCAACCACTTTTAGTTTTCTACTCTTGTCATGTATTGAAGTTGGGAATGTTGATTGCAATGTTGATTTTTCTTGATTTCATGTTGTCGGGAACTAAGTGAAATGATGCAGAAGTCAAAAGAGAGTAGAGTAATGCAGAGGAGTGGACTGGAAGCACAATTAAAATGATACAGTTAAGGAATCGAAGCCTCTCCCTAATGTCAAAGAAATATAGATGCATCTGAATAATATTTATAACTATGATGTTTTACTACAAATAAACATGAAGATGCATTGGCTTGATTTGTTAATTGAATGTTTAAAAATAGATGGCAATTATAAGGAGATGGAATGGATAAATGACCTAACTAGTTTTTGTTTTCTACTCTTACTTCTCATTTGGGATAATTGGAGTGTTAGCCCCTAGGATCTCTCGCACGGGTGAGACTTCCGTTCACCTGGCGCTCTCGCACACACACTACGGCTGGAGGTAGAAGAGGGAGGGAGAACAGAGCACACACACATAGCTCAAGCACCAGCGTTGGCCGGAACTCAGCAGATGAGATGGCAAAACTGAACTCGCTCCTTTTACTGAGTTACAGTGGGAAACAATATATACAACTCTACCTATCTAGTCCCTAGTACACATACATGTCCGGCTGCCATGCCGCTATAATGACTAGATATGACAGCAGGGCTGACTTTGGCGTTGCCCCCTGTGTGGCTATAGTGCGGCAGAGGAGCCTTTCGCCGTCTACCCCCTGCCATGGCTTACAGGGAGAGTAGCATATTACTTTACAATTCTTTCCCTAATCCTGCTGCTAACGCAAGAACCTCCACCATGCCAATCATCTTCTTCAGCTCCGAGAACCAAAGACGGCCGAGCGGCTTGGTGGGGACGTCCGTGAGTTGCTGACCAGTTTCAACGAACTCGATGATGATCTACCCTCTATCGATACAGTCCCTGAGGAAGTGGAACTTGACGTCGATTTTCTTGCTCCGGTCGTGGTGAACCGGATTCTTCGCGAGGGCGATGGTGGGCTGGTTGTCCACCATCAGTGCTGGTGGGTGAGCTTCCACACCGGTCAACTTGCCCAGCAGCCGGCGCAGCCATACAGCTTGGCACGCCGCTGTGGCCGCCGCCACGTACTCTGCCTCGCACGTGGATAGCGCCACTACCTTCTGCTTCAGCGACAGCCATGAGATTGGGGCCGACCCAAGGAAGACGAGCACACCAGAGGTGCTCCGCCATCCGTCGATGTCCCCCGCCATGTCTGCATCGCTGAACACAATGAGCCGCAGTCCACTTTCGCCGGTCTTGGGGAAGACGATCACCTGATCCACCGTCCCCTTGGTGTAGCGCAACAGCCGCTTTACCACGGCCCAGTGATCCTCTCAGGGATCCTCCATGAAGCGGCTGACGTAGCCCATGACGAACGCAACGTCCGCCGACAATGCTCCGATAGAGTGTTGTATCCACGTTCGCTGTGATGCTGGCCTTTGTCAGCTTCAGCCGCTCCTCCATCGGAGTCGCGCATGGCTTGCAGTTAGCCATGCCGCTCCGCTCCAATAGCTTCGAGGCGTACACGCTCTGACCGAGCGTGAGCGCCTCCTTCCCCTGTCTTACCTCAATGCCGAGGTAGTAGGAGAGCGCGCCGAGATTGCTCATTCGAAAATGAGCCACCATCTCGCGCTTGAAGCTGTCGACATCCTCCGTACGCGCACCGGTGATGATAAAGTCATCCACATACACCGCTGACGAGTTCCTCCTTTCCTCGTCGCCGCATGTAGAGCGTGTGCTCGGTTGCGCAACGCGTGAACCCAAGCGCGCCCACCGTGGCGTCAAGCTTGGCGTTCCACGCTCGCGGGGCCTGCCGCAGCCCATAGAGCGCCTTGCACAGTCGGAGCACCTTGTGCTCCGCTCCCTTGACGGCGAAGCCCGGAGCTTGCCTGACGAAGACCGTCTCCGCTAGCTCGCCATTGAGGAAGGCCAATTTTACATCCAAGTGATGGACGCGCCAGTCCTTCGCTGTTGCTAGAGCCAACAACAGTCGGACGAACTCCATGTGTGCTACCGATGCAAAGACTTACTCGAAGTCGATGCCCTCACGCTGGACAAAGCCACGGCGACGAGGCGCATCTTGTGTTTGACAATGGCGCCGCGCTCATCCCGCTTGACTTTGTACACCCACTTTAGGCCAATCGGACGACAGCCTGGATGCGGATCGATGAGCTCCCAAGTCTTATTTTCCTCGATCGCCTTCATCTCCTCCAGCATCGCCTGCCGCTAGTTGGCGTCGCGCTCGGCCAGCGCGAACGTGGGTGACTCCTCGGCATTGATGAGGAGCAGCTCTAGATCGTCAAGCGGCCGACTCACTAGGCCCGAGGCCTCTGAGCCACCGACGATGTCATCCAGCCTATGGAACCGCACCTCCTCACCATCGTGGAAGGCATCCACGAACTCGATGATGTCGCTTGGAGGTGAGGCGAACTCGATCGGCGTCGATGGAGTTCCCTGTTCTGCCAGAGTGGTCGACACAGCACTGGAGTGCTTGGCACCCCGGCTGCAGTGCTCAGCACTACTCCTGAACCGCTTGTCATCACTCCTGGAGCGGTCGGCACACTATAGGAGTGCTCAGCACCAGTCTTGGAGTGGTTGGCACCACTTTGCAAGACGCTGGCTCGCACAGATGCCATTGAGCCTTTAACCTACATGAATGAAGCGCCAGATGCCGATAGCGCTTAGCACTAGTCCTAGAGTGGTTGGCACCACTATAGGACCGCTCGACATCACTCTTGGAGTGCTTGGCACCGCCTAGGAGTGCTCGGCTCTACTGCTGAAGTGGTCGGCACCACCTCTCCAGCATCTCCACCACCGTGGATAACCAAGTGCTTGACGGCGAAGGTGCTAGTGAAGCCGCCAGCTTCCCCCGTGCTCAGACTATCCCAGTCCCAAAGCCGCCTTCTCATCGAACACGACGACATCGCGCGAGACAACCACCTTGCCTCCGCGTGGGTCATAGAGCCAATACACCTTGGTACCCTCCTCGTAGCCTAGGAGCACCTGTCCTCCAGCTTGGTGAGGAACAACTTTGTACTCCGGACGTGGCCGATGCAACCGAATGTCCTGAGGAAGGACACGCTCGGCTTGCGCCCGTACCAAGCTTCAAATGGCGTTATGCCCTTCAGGGCCTTCGTGGGCCCATGGTTGAGGATGAACACCGCCGTGGTCACCGCCTCACCCTAGAACTTTGCCGGCATGCTCTTGGCCTTCATCATGGATCGAGCCATGCCGACCACCGTCTGGTTTCCGCCGCTCCACTACGCCATTCTGCTATGGCGAGTACAACGTTGTGTGGTGTCGCACCACACCCTGATCCACGCAGTACGCAGTGAACTCCACCAAAGTGAATTCGCCACCGCGATCTGTCCTCAGCACGCGCAGCATCTTCCTAGACTCTGCCTGCCCGCGCCTAGAACCTCATGATCGCCTCCACCGCCTCATCCTTGATTGTCAGGAGTTGCAGCCACATGTAGCGACTGCAATCATCCACGAGCAGGAGAAACTACCGCCGACCACCAGGTGTGTCCGGCGTGATTGGTCCGTGGAGGTCGTCGTGGATGAGCTCGAGAGGGCCCGCTGTGCCATACTTGGCTACCTTGGGAAAAGGCAGCCTCCTCTGCTTCCCGACCAGGCAGCTATCTCAGCTCGCCTGCATGCTTGATGTGGGCAGCCCTCGGACCATCTTCTTTAGCCGACCAAGCGCTTCGAAGCTGAGATGTCCAAACCGGGC